ACTGCTCATCTTTCCCATTCTTGCCAGCATTTGCATATCATCTTTGGAGAAATGTCTGTCCAAGTCCTTTGCCCCTTATCTAATTAGGTTATTCAATTTTTTGTTGTTGAGCTGCATCAATGTTTAATTTGTATTCCCAACAGCCACTTATGCACCAGGTGCAGCCTGGAGCTAGTACTTCGGCCTGATGAATGGCACACATCTCTATGTAACTCAGGCCCAAATTTGTGACAATCATAGTTGAGGGATTTCCGTGGCCATTGTCAATCCAGAGCAAATGCTATTAATAGTAACACTTCACCACTGTGCCTTCCTGGTGGCCTATCCTCCAGACATTAAAAAACAAAACAACATACACACAAACAAAAAAAGCATAATCATGTCCTTATGTGACATCATTGGCCAACCATGTAATTGGATCCACAGTGTAATGGGCTGATTTATAAAGTGTTTGAACCTGAGGGTGTCTCAATTCTTTACTGCTTAAAGACTGTTCTCAAAAAAAAAAAAAAAAAAAAGTCCAGAATCACAAAAGAAATAATGACACATAATATCTGGTCTTTAACAAAGTTCTGTTGAAAAACGTCACCCAACAGTTAAACACCAAAGTTACCTACCCTGTGACAAATACTTCAAATTCAGACACACAGAGCTGCTCCAGAAAACTTGTAATTATCAGCACTGGTAGACACTACTGCCACAAATGGTCTTGCTCCAAATCAAACCTAAGTGCATTAGAACTTCACTAGGACACAAACGCCATTCTCTGCAATTTAAAGCTGGGGAAATGTGGTTGTTGGATATTGAGTGATACCCTCAACTCCCAGGCCAAACCCAGTATTCTGGGGATGGGTGGAGCTCTATGGGTCCCTGACCTTTAATGGACAGTCTTAGCAAGGTCTGACTTAAAGCCAGGAAACATTCAGCTGGATCAGGGTCTCTGGGAACATATATCAGAGGACAGAGTGTCAGTATAGGTAGAAAAGACACAAAATATGTCATACTTTAAGGAAATGGCTTTCCCAAAGGTAGCTATATAAACCCATTGGGAATATGTCCCTATAAAGTAAAGCCCACTGACCCTAACAATCTGTCAGGCCACTGATCTTCTCAATAACACTTATATTGAGCCTCTGTAGCCTTCAGTGGCTTCTCACGATAAAGAAGACAAAGTCCACATATCTTGTCTTAGAAGTCTAAGCTTCAGTCCATGCCCACACTATGTTCTAATCTTATTTCTCTCTGAGTATCTCCAAATCAGGCTCTCTGCTCAAGTCAACCAGTGATGTTTATTGTTTCACCACTGAAGTCTATGAACACCTTGTTCTGGGACACTTGTTCCCACCTCTCCTGAGGCCCTGCTCCATCTGCCATCCCCCACCAATATAACTCCAGTGGACACTCACCTAGCCCTCCCAGAACTCCTTACTCATTTGTATATTCATCCTCATAATTACGGCTATTTTAATATGTGATTTTATTTGGCCTTTCCACTCTGATGGCTGAGCGCTGTACCTGTCACCACAGTGAGCAGGCCAGGGCTTTGCCAATGATCAACGTTCAGAATCTTGCTGGGATCATCTTGGGTAAGGCTCGGCAGACTTTAATCTGCATACAAATCTTCTGTAGATCTTGTTAAAATGCAGTTCTGATTTAGTGCTGCATTTCTAAGTACCTCCTAGGTGAGGCCAGTGCAGTGGTACCTGGACTACACTGCAGAAGGTTTCAAAGGCCAAAGCCTGCCAGACTGAAATGACACACATGGATGACCGGGTAACAGCAAGGTGGTGGCAGATGAGAAGGCTCTTCCCCGGACTACAGGGCCAGTAGACACTCAGCTACAGCAACAATGAAGAACTGAGATTGACAGATCTAATTTCCAGAGAAGCTGAAAATCTGCATTAATATGTAGAATCTCCCAAATTTTATATGAGGGTAATTAATTCAAATCCAGGTCTGAGAGGATCTGCACAACATATCCCTAATCTCTTTAAAGGGCCTTCTGTATGACCGAATGAATACTCCTCTAGTCTTTGCTCTGTCTGAAGTATTAGCTTTCTTTCTATAACAGGCTTTACATATAGCAGATTTTTCTTTTTTAAAAAAAATTATTTATTTATTCATGAGAGACACATAGAGAGAGGCAGAGACATAGACAGAGGGAGGAGCCTGCTTCTCCATCGGGCAGGGAGCCTGATGGTGGGACTTGATCCCAAGACACCGAGATCACGACCTGAGCCAAAGGCAGAAGCTCAACCACTGAACCACCCAGGTGCCCCTAGACCAGAATTTTCAAACTGAAAAAAAAAGTTTTAATGAAAAAAAAATCTGTAGCTCTAATAAAATCCTAATAACAAATATTCGCCCTGCTAGTTTGTGTATAATTAGAACAATGATTTCCAAACTTTGGGATTTTATGGGCGAAAAAAATTCCCCCCCCCCAAAATGGGGGAGAACCAAAAATACAACACCAACATTTCACTTTGTTCAATAAGGATATTAAAAAATAGTCTACTCCCAGTATCTTATTATATGAAGGACACTGTAATGCCAAAACATGTAAAAACACAAATCTTAGATGACAGGAAAATTCTTTAAGTTGATAAATTGTAGCTTCAAGGGAGAACTATACTGTCCTTGTTTTTCTAATTTTGTGACGGACAAGTAGAAACTTGGATTCAAGTTCTGGTTTGGGGGAACCATTGATTATCAATCCCTTCTGTTTATAGGAGATGAAACAAAGATGCCCAGCAACCGTATGACTTGCTCACCACCACCTGCTTTGGTGGCACAGCCCAGTGCCCTTCACTGTTCTTGCTGGTGGGGTTACAATTTCATGTAATTCCCATCCATTTGGCATGGTCACATGGCAAAATCTTGGGACCAGTTTAAATTCCAGATCAGCAACTTATAAACTTCCATCCATGGTCCTGGGTCAATTATTCAACCTCCTTGGCTGGACCTCAGCTCTTTCACCTGTTACACTTACTTCAGGGTTGTCATGAAGATTAAGCAAAATACATTTAAATTTTAAAATTTATTTTAGATAAATTTAAATAAAACTCAATTAAACATTTAATTAAATAGCATATACAAGCTACCTACCAATGTTAAGAGGCTCCTCTTGTAATGATTGGTCAGCTCCCTCCTCAACAAAGAGCCGAACATGGTGAGGCCTATGTCACTGATACAAGTTACTGTTAACATCATAACAACTGCTAGTAAGCATGAAGTACCAGAACAATAGAGTCTACTCACTACATTTATAGAACTAAAGGGAATGGTTCAAATTATTCTTCACAAAACAAGAATGATCTGCTTGGGGATAATTTTATATCTTCAATTATTCCAAGTAAGAAATATTAATTTTTCTGTTTTTTTTTTAAATGTAAAAAACTCATAATCCCAAGATCAAGAGTTGGGAGGGGGAGGGGGACAAGCAGACTCCCCAGGGAATAGGGAGCCCAATGTGGGGCTCTATCCTAGGACTCTGAGATCATGACCTGAGCTAAAGGCAGATGCTTGACTGACTGAGCCACCCCAGGTGCCCCTCATGAGAGGGTCCTACTTTACTTTTTTAGAATCTCTACACCCAACATGGGGCTTAACTTACCATCCCAAGATCAAGAGCTGCATGCCCAACCAACTGAGCCAGGTGGGCATCTTGTCACAGAGGGGTTTTATGAGCTGCTTCAGAGGAGGGTCAGAAAGTCCTTCCTGAACATGCTATTTCTCAAATTCTTCCAGCTTGGAATATGCAATATGCCCAGCTGCCATATTTTGGAGTAGCATTTCCTAAACCTCACTGTTATCATATCAATATTAGTTTTCTTTATAGAAGTACCTGGGTTACCTGACTCTACAAACTCTTTGTCATAGCAGGTAGCAGATTTGTTTTGGGGTGTATTTATCATCTATAGCCAGGGTCAGCAAACTTTGTCCCAGATCAAATCCAGCCCAATACATGTCTGTAAATAAAATTTTATAATGAATGAAATGCTTTCATTTGTGTGTTATCTGTGGCGGCTTGCCATAGCAGAGGAGCTGAGCGACAGAGACCATGTGGCTCTCAAAGCCTAAAATACTTACACTCTCTGGCCCTTTACAAAATTTGTCAACCCTAGACCTATCGAATAAAGACAAACAACTAAATATGTTAAGAGGTCATTACAAAAAAAGTTATCACTCCAAAAGCTTCAATGAATGCTAACACCTTTGTATCTGTAAGGCAATGATCTTTGCTTAAAAGGTAGATTTCCACTCTCCTAAGCATGTAGAGACATCAAAATGAAAGTCGTAATTTCAGTGGAGGCACGCTACTTTTTATAAGTAATAAATGAAAGGGGTTTTGGTTTTGGCAATGAAGGGACTGCTTTAAAATGTTACAAAGCCATGGCTCTTGAAGAGAGAAAATCAACCATGGGCATCTTCTATAGCTGAATTTCAATACAATTTTAATTACTTTTATAACATTTTATTTTATTGTTATTATTTTTTTTAATTTTTTTTTTAATTTTTATTTACTTAGGATAGTCACAGAGAGAGAGAGAGGCAGAGACACAGGCAGAGGGAGAAGCAGGCTCCATGCACCGGGAGCCCGATGTGGGATTCGATCCCGGGTCTCCAGGATCGCGCCCTGGGCCAAAGGCAGGCGCCAAACCGCTGCGCCACCCAGGGATCCCTATTGTTATTATTTTTTAATGCAAACCCTATGCCCAACATGGGGCTTGAACTCATGACCCAGAGATCAAGACCAAAATGTCTCACTGACTGAGCCAGCCAGGTGCCTCTACAATATTTTAAAGCTATGTTCTACAAATAAGTCTTCCTGCTTGCTGGGGGAGGCAGCAGATAGGATTATGTAATAAAATGGCCTTGATCAATTCCTATTTTTTGATATCACATAATTCAGCCCATATGAATGGATTACTTAGCAAAGCTTCTTCCTCACTCCAACCTTACCCTCATCCCCATAGCTGCTTAAGAGAACCATTAAGTAATAATCAGATAGTAAGTACATTCTTATATACATATAGCTACTATATAAATAAATAGTAAATTCCTGTTGATACTTACCCTAAGCAGGTCACATAGAGGGGCCCCTGTGAAAAAGAACTCAGGCCATAAAATTTGGAGTATTCTTCTCTGGTGAATTTCATCTCAAGTTCATATCTTTTGAAATATGTTAAAATGGAAATTATGAACATAAATCAGATTTGAAAAAAATTTACAGTGAATACCCACACACCCAAATCTACATTAACACATTTTTCTTGTAGTCAGATTAACGGGGTATTGAATACATACTTACCACTTTCAGATGTATAATTTGATGAAATCTGACAAATGTATAGCTATGTGATGACCACCACACTCATGAGAGGGAAGCATTCCATCATTCCAGAAAGCTCTCTACACCCCTCTGCTGTCAATCCCCAGCCCTGTCAACAACTGATATGTTGTCACTATAATTCTGCCTTTCTTGAACATCAGATGGATAGGATCGAATCAGATGTATCTTTTGTATCTTCTTTCATTCGGCATAAGGCCATGTTGTTGCGTCAATTAGTAGTTTATCCCTTTTTACTGTGAAACAGCATTCATTAGTATGGATATATTTTATCCTTTACACCAGTTGAAGGAATTTGGGGATGTTTCTAATTTTGGACTATTATAAATGAAGCTCCTACAAACATTTCTGTACAGATTTTCATGTGGACATATGTTTTCACTTTTCTTGGGTAAATATTGAGGAATCGCTGGTCATAAGGTTAGTATAGTATTAAAGCTTATAAGGGAGGTGGGTTTGTTGGAATGTTTGAACCAGAACAGTCAGAGCAACTCTGATAAAGGAGGATTATACTGGAAGGTTCCTACTACCTGATTGCAAGAATTACTATGAAGCTATACTAACTAAAATAATGTGCCAGGGGTGCCTGGGTGATTGAGTAGGTTACATGTCTGCCTTTGCCTCAGGTCATGATCCCGGGGGTCCTGGAATAAGCCCTGCATTGGGCTCCAGGGGAGCTTGCTTCTCCTTCTCCCTCTGCTGCTCCCCCTGCTTGTGCTCTCTAAAAAATAAAAAAATAAAAAAAAAATTCTTAAAGAAAGATAACGTGCCAAATTGTTTTCTAAAGTGGTTGGACCTTTTTCCCTTCCCATGGGCAATGTGTGAGCATTCTCTCGGCTCCACGTTATTGAGGACAATTGGCGATGCTGGTCTTTGTAACTTTATCCTAGTGAGTTGTACTGGTATTACAATTTTCATTTCCTTAGTGACTAATAACTTCGTGCATTCATGCTTACTAGTCAGTCATTTGTTCTATCTTCCTTGGTATAATGCTCAGGTTTTCAATATCCTCCCCGTTTAAAAAATTTGTCTATTATAAACATGAGTCTTTTATCAGTTATGTTTTGCCCCAGGCTTGCCTTTTATTTTCTTAACAGTGTCTCTTGAAGAGTTTGTTTTTAAGTAAGCTCTATGCCCAATGTGGGGCTTGAACTCACAAATCCAAGATCAAGAGCCCCATGTTCCATCAACTGAGTCAGTCAGGCGCCTCTCATTGTTTTTTGATGCTATTGTAAATTTTTTTCATTTCATTTTTTTTAATTTTTTTATTTCAATTTTTAATTGCTTGTTCCAGTATATAAAAATAGAGATATTCTAGTACATTGACCCTGTATCCTGTGACCTTGCTAGGCTTATTAGTTGTTTTATAGATTCCTTATCATTTTCTACTTACACAATCATCCCATCTTCAAATGGATAGTTTTATGTGTCTTTCTTTACAATTTTTTTTTTCAATTTCCCAATCTGTATGCTTTTAATTTCCTTTCTGTCTTGTTGCACTGGCTTAAACCTCCAGTCACCTGGAACACCAGAGGTGACACCAGACATTCTTGCCTTGTTCAGCATATCAGAGGGAAAGTATCAGTCTTTTACTATTAAAGATTTTAGGTTTAGGTGTTACTTAGTTACCTTTTGTCAGATTGAGCAAGTTCCCTTCTATTTGTGCTTTGCTGAGAATTCCACCCATAAATAGGTTCTGTATTTTGTCAAACGCTTTTTCTGAATGTAATAAGATAATGGTTTTCTTTTTCATACTCCCTCCCAGTGTTGAATTACATTGGTTTTCAAATGTTTCCTAAGTTGTTGATTTCATAGGAATAATTTTTTTTCCAATATTCCTTTTTATAAAAGTCTGTAGGATCTGTGGTAAGGTGTTCTGTTCATTTCTCATACTGACAATCTGTTTTCTGATCAGAAGTTATCACTTTTATTGATATTTTCAAGAGTAGCTTTTAATTTGATTTTGCTATTTTTTGATTTCTATTTCATCGCTTTCTGTTCTTACCCTACCCTTCCTTCCTTCCTCACACTTGTACTCACTGCTTAGGTTGAAAATTTAATTAGAGACCTTACATTCTTTCTCATATAAGTGATTAAAGCTATGCATTTCCCACTAAATATTGCCTTAGCTGCAGCCCCCAAATTTTCGTATGCTGTGATTTTCATTTTCGATCTGCTCAAGATATTTTCTAGTTTTTCTTATAACTTCTTCTTTAGCACATGGATAATTTAGAAGTGTGTTGCTCTTTTGTTATTGACTTCTAGGTTGATTCCACTGTGGTAAGAGAATATGTCTTCTATGATTTCAATTCCTCAAATGTAGTGAGACTTTTAAGAAGTAGGGGAACCTTTTCCTTGCTCACTTTCCCCTTCTCATTGGATACAGATGACAACAAGGCCCTGGGGGATGATGTAGCCACAAGATGGAAACAGTCTCAGACTTCAATCACCACGTGGGAGAGAGCAGCACACTTATCTGGAACACCCACTCTGATAAACACACAAGTAAGAAATGAACTTCTAGTATTTGAACCATTACAGGTTTGGTTCTGTTTATTGCAGCAGTTTTGCTTACCCTGATTAAAACACCACTTATCTTTTTAAGGCTCCTCTTTCTCCCCACTGCCCTGAAAGTGAGTTTTTCATAAAATGTACTTTAGTTCATACTATCCAAAGCATTATCTGACCCATCTACTCAACTATTTTTGTGTTCCATTAAAAGACAAAAACTTCCTATGAATACAAATATATATAAAGTTTATTGTATCAGCCAAGGTTCCCTTTTTTAAAAAACAAATATTTTTATTGAAGTACAGTATACATACATAAATGCACACAAATACACTATCAACAGTATATATGGTAAGTATAGCTGCAGAGATTTACAAAGCTGTCTACATGTGGGTCATTCTCCTCCTTCCCATCAGTTTATTTTTGCAGCCCTGGTCATGGAGGAAGTCAAGAAAAGAGATAAAAGGCACCTGCTACAGAGTGTGCCCCAGAAGGGATCTTCCAGGAGGGCTGAACTAAAGCCTAGCGAGTCACAGCTAGTCCTTTACAATCACTTGCATGGAGCTGAGTTCCTCTGTTATACTCCAGCTGTTTTTTTTGTTGTTGTTGTTGTTGCTTTTGTTTTTTGGGGAAAGAGGATATAATACAGGTAGGGAAGAATGTAAAGAAGAAAGCTATGCTGTTCTCCTTTCCCAAAGCGAATGTAATGTTCCAGCCAGGGCTGCTGCTGGACAGTCACTTTACTTCCACCTGTCAGATACTGGTTGCAATTTAACTGTACTACTTTTATATACTGAGAACATTTTCCTGCATCTTGTCCCCATGGCCTGAAATGTGAATTGCATCCCTTTGGACACTGCACTGTTTTGCTCCATCCCATCTTCCAGCTACATGCCGCACCTGACCTCACTCAGGCTCTTGGCCTCGTTAAGAGTTTTGTTTTTTGTTTTTTGTTTTAAAACATATCGGGGTTATTTTTGAAAATACTTTTTAAGAATCACACACATACAGGATGAAAAAGGGAGATGTACCTAAAAACAGTATTATTACCAAATAAACAAAAACAGGAAACCAGCAGTTTTCACAGGAAGAAATGTAACAAGTCCAAAATTCCAAAAATGTGTAAGTGATACAAGAAACACCTTTAGCAAAACCACCACCAGAAATCTGTATGTATAGGAATGGGGTCAAGGTAAAGATGTAAATTAGCCAAGTTATACACAAGGGATAAGGCCAATATGAACTTCATTTCCTATTCTATGCTGACAGAAAATAAGAAAATGATACTGAAAATCTAAGAATATTTCTGAGCAGCCCACTGTTTACATTTGAGACAAGTGTGGACTAGGGAGGGACCAGCCACAACATCAAAAAGAGAAAAGGTCATTCCAATTTTGAGGACAGGCACAAAATGATGGCAACTTGATACTGATCTCAGGGAAGACCCCAGAACAGATCCTTCTAGCGTTTTCTAATTCTTTAGGAGAGACCATCACTCACTCTGAATCAACAGGTGTGACTCCAAACTTTTAGGGGCAGTTACTTGACTAACATTTGGGAAATGCAGGACTTCTGCAAGGAATGTAAACTCCAACAATATCCTCTGTAACCTTGGAGAGATATGGACTGCAGCAAATCACTACATCCTTACTAACAGGTGTTGATTGATCCCTTGGCCAACCTGTATCTGACTGCAAAGTTTTGGAGGCCTACGATAGATCACTATCCTCAGACTTGTTTCATTCAGTGTACAAGGTTTACATATGAAATTTTGGAGTGATCAGAAAAAGATAGCAAATTGATCTTACATGAATCCAAAAACATCTAAAAAGGTTAATGAATCAAACAAAAGAAAATTTAATAAATGTAGGTCCTGCAAAGTAGGTTAATAAACAAAACACCAACTACACAAGTGTGGGATGAGGGGAAATTGTTTAACAGCAGTAAAAATCGTTAACCTTTGAAGACTCACACAATATGATGTGGGTGTCAGAAAAGCTAGTCCATCATTTGGGTGCTAAATAGATGAAGAGTATTAACTACAACAAAGGAATGACAGCTCTGCTACTTATAAATGTTAGCTCTGGGTTGAGCACTTTCAGAAAGACACAGAAAACTAGAGCATTTGCACAAAAGGGTCTTGAATGGTAAAGACAACAGAAGCCATGACATATGATGAGTGAACTGGTGATAGAAAAGAGTAAAGGCTAGGAGTCATCACAGTAGCTGCTGTTAAATGTTTGGTCTTGAGCTAATACGACAAATGAAGGGAGGAAGCCACCAACTGGGGACCAGGAGAGCTGCCCAAAATGAAAGATTTTGGTTCCTGGAGGGTCAGATGAGAGGCTGCTAAATGTCTTTTTCCAACTTTGAAATTCCATAAATATATAAAGATCTGACCAGCTGCAAAATTTATTACTCTGTTTTTGAAGAGCACACAAATGACAATTCTTCAGAGCTACTATGTTAAAACTTTTGAGGACATAACTACAAATCATTCAGAATTTGCTTTTTTTGGCCACTTTTATCTCTCAAATGGACAAACATTCATGTGTGTTCCTCTAGTTTTACTGAGATACAACTGAAATGTGTGTGCTGTTTTTTGATGTGAAATCAGTCTAGAAAATGTAATCTATTTTGCCTCCCTCCCATTCACCCCTAGATTTAAAGCAATTAGCATCATATAAATTTTTCATGGTCTACTTCTCTAGTCTAGTGTAGTACAGTATAATGCTGTAATGGGGAATATTCCATCTTACCTGCTATATTCATGCATGTTCCACCCTGAAAATGCAAAAAGCCCTAAAAAAATCATACATACAATACAAACGTGGGTTATTAGAAGGGAATTCCTTCCTTTTCAAAGACAATTTTACATGGCCAATCTTCCAGGTACATTTAACTTACAGTTTTATTGATATAATTTAGGTTACCCCTAACAATCTGGAAATGTGTGGTATGGTATAAACCTAATTCTAACCAATTCCAATTTTGTCTTAAAGGTAGGTCTTAGTACATTACATGCAAGCTCTAGAAATACCTACTACGTAGCTGAGATTGCCATAAGCCTTATTTCAATATTCACTCTCAGAGATTATGCAAAACATGAATAAATCCATGGAATACACTCAAGATATCCGTGATTCCACATACTACATCACAGAATTATCCAGAGACCAAAACATCAAACTTTTCCATGGTCTCCCTAAAAGAAATAATCTGCTGTCTTTCAAAATTTTGCTTTATTACTTCCTAGAATATTTATAGCAGTTCTTTGGAAAAGCAAGAATTAAATTTGGCAGCCTTTGTGCTCAAGGACCAAACATGGGTTATTTATCATTCTTTTTTGCAGCTTTCAGTCTGGGAGTGGACAATCTCTCAGAGAGGGAATGTACATAGTTACTGTATAGTTCTAGTCATTTACTACTGTTATATAAAAGTTAACAAATGGAATTATAATAAAAGGCACAAGAGGGGAGTTTGCTTAGGTGATATGTCATTCAAAAGTACAGTTTTTTGGCCACTGCGAAAGTATTTTCCATAAAATACCTGAGCTGGTGTCTTGTGTGACCAAGATATCCACTACCTTCTATATTCTTAAACACAAGTCTTTGACGTGATCTAAACTAGTTTAAAAAGTGTCTAATCTAAGGGAGTTATTAAAATTTGTATTCATGTAGAACAAGCTGGTTACAAACTTACTTTCCTTTCTGTTGACTATAAACACTGAGCCTCATTTCAGAAGAGATCTGGACATCACAAATACCAGAATCAAAGAAAGATGTTCTTACATGAACATTTAGGAACCTAGTAACTTCTTATTTAAATGGTGCTTTTAGGAGAAGGGAAACAATCATGACAGATTAAAGTCTGCCTCTAACCATGAGAATCCCTGGAATAAAATCAAAATATTTCCCCAAAGACACAGGTGTTTATCACAGGGACAGAGAATATGCAATTTTGAAAGGTGCAGTGAGTTTTTCTCTGCCTCTGCTAACGGACTTTGATTACAGGTTAATAGCAGTATAAATAACACAATTAGATAATGTTGGGTTCATTTTTCTTTCAGGTTAAAAAAAAAAAAAAACAACAAAAACCTTCATGTCCTTGTACTTTTAGGGGCTTGGAAGGTCTGCAGCCACTGCCCTTCTTGTCACCAGAGCCCTCGGCGGCTTTACAAATGGACATGCCCGAGACTGCCATCTGGTGGAAATGATAGAAATTGAAATGATTTTGTTGTAAGTAATTAAGTCTTTTCCTACAAAGAATGTATAAATTAAAAATATATTGGGGGAGAATGGTTTATTCATAACAGCAATAAGAAATATAAAATAATAAGGAATTAACTGAAGAAATGCATCATGCATATAGAGAAAACTATAAAACTTTACTGGGGGGCATAAAAACACTCATATAAATAGTAAGATACAGCATTTTCCTGGCTTGGAGCTCTTATCTGTTAAAGATATCAATGACCCCTCCCTCCAATTAATCTAAGCATATAACAATTCAACACTAACAAGATTTTTATTTGGCAGGGAAATCTTGGCCAAAATATTCAAAAGTTCATTTGGAGGAATAAGCATTCGATTTTTCTAAGAGTAATAAGGGAGCACTTTCCCTACCAGATAATAAAACATATAATAAAACTTTGATACTTAAGATGACATAGTGATACATAATACAAAGCAATGAAATAGAATGCCCATAAAAACACAAGTGAATACTAGAACATATAGTAAAAGGGCATTTTCAAATAAATAAGAAAAGACTGGCTTATGTATTAGCTGGTATACGGGGATAATGGAAAATATACTAGATTTTCACCATGGTGCAATACCCCAAAGTAAGTTTGACTAGTATTACGTATTTATAATAAAAAAACCAAAGTCATAAATAAAAATATATGTAAATATTTACTTACTCAGAATGTGAAAAGATTGTCTAAGTATACAACTGAAGGTTCAAACTGTTAAAGAAAATAATAAAATTCTAAAACTTTTGAAGTTTACTTATTTATTTTAATCTCTACAGCCAACGTGGGGCCCAAACTCACAGCCCTGAGATCAAGAGCCACATGCTCTTCTGACTGAGCCAGCCAGGTGTCCCAAATTCTAGTGCTATTGAATATAAATAACCAAGCCAACACTTCTCAAAACTCATCAAATTAAACATCTAAGGTCTTTGCAGTTTACTGTATGTAAATTTTACTTCTTCAAAAAAGTAAAATAAAAAATAAATCCCACTATATATTTCAAATGGCATATGGAGGATAAAAGCATTATTTAATATTTTTGACCAAAGAGAGCTATCTAATACTCTTCAGAGCATTTTAGCTCTCACCTGTGCCTCTCCAATCATAGCAGAAAGACTTTATTCTTACTGTAAAAAACTGGCACCAAAACAAAGTTACTGTGTAAGAAAAAACACAAATAAAGTATCATGGCATACGATTTTTTTGGGGGGAAAAATAAACCCATGTTATTGAGTTTGTAGTTTTTCAGGAATTAGGTTATTTCCATATTGTTAGATGTGCTTTGTTCTTAGTCCTATCCCCAATATCCTTATTTAAAAAGACAAGTAATAAAATAGTAAGTTATGGCATATTTGAAAGAATAGTTGATTTCCTGAATATATAAAGAGCTCTCACAAATCAATAAATAACTGTATTAGTAGATAATAAGCAACATATCAAACAGGCTTTAATAAAAGATGATTAAAAAACTAGCCAAAATAGGAGAAAAACTGTTCAATGTCATTAGGAATCAAATAATTTTAGAATTAAATAAAAAAATCATAAATTACAATATTTTACCTACCAGATTGGTAATGTACAACACTTGAGAGAAAGCAAAAGATACAGACATTTTGTATGTTAGGATTATAAGGTATCCCTTCCCAATGTATTTTATTTTTTAATTCAAAACTTTATAAAAAATTAAAACATAGAAAATTACAGAAAAGAATATGATACCCTTGCCTATCACCCAGATTTAACCCATGTTAACATTTTTGTTTTTTGAGGGTTGGGGTGTGGAAATAAATATCTCACACTTTGCAGTGTTTCTGAATAAACTGCCCTAAATTAATGTTATCATTCCCATGCATGTTTTATAATTATTTACCTATAAATTATATATCATGTTCCCTCATCCCTCAACTCTTAAGATTCCATTATGTTTGGTACCACTTTTAATGTATACTTAAGAAAAAAATGAAACTATAAAATGATGCTTTAATATCACTTATGATTATTTTATACTTATTATAATACGATTGGTTTTGTTTTTGAAGTAGGCTCTACCCCAATGTGGGGTTAAACTCAGGACCTTAAGGTCAAGAGTCATATGCTCCACTGACTCAGCCAGCCAGGTGCCCTGTAACAGGTTTTTAAGACAGACTTTTTACAAGTCCTGTCATTTCTGTTTTGCTTACACTATAACTTTGCTTCTATGTTAAATCGTATGTAATCATTTTAAAGACATTTTAAACGGCATTAGACTTAACACATGTAGCCCCAACCATATGCAAAGCTCAATCATGGAACTGAAATATGAATCACTATTACCAAGCAGGTGCAGCTGTGCCTAGCCAATGAAATTGTAGATGCCACTGACCTAAGATGCTTCTCAATTGCAAAGAAATTAAAATATGAAAAAGTACATTTTGGAATATATTTTGGAGATCAAAGCTGTTAAATGACATTCTTGCAGAACTTGCTGATTCTCTCAACATTATGTTTTTAGAGTATTAAGAGGGCTGACTGCCTAAGGAAGAAAAGCCAATAGCACCTAGCTGCTGCTGGAGCAGAGGATCCTCAGCCCAGCTTCTCCAGCGTTTTCAGTAACTACCCAAGGAAAAACTGTTTTGTGCTAATGGGTACTAATTAGTAGGCTAAGTTATTCCTCCTTGCCAACATCTGCCTCACATCAGGAACGTGGTCTCAAGACAGTCACTTCAACGGCCCAGAAATTCAGTTATCAGGGAAGCATAAGGTGCCATGAATGATACAATTGCCTTAGGGCCAAAAAATTCAGTAACCTAGAAAAATATACAATGCAAGATTTAAAAGAAACTAATGCGAAAACCATGAGGAACCATATCAGATTTTAAATAAAGATAGAATCACTATCACAGACTTTTTCGTTTGCCTTGGAATCCAACATTAGCAGGCAGGGCTCTGTTACCGGTTCAGCCAGACTTACAGGGGAAGGCAGGGGGTTTAGAGCAATCACTGCGCCGCACACTAGCTTCACATGTAAATGTGCAACAGAAAACAAAGTAATTTTCATAGGTAGGGTGAAGAATTTTCAATACAAGCTGCCAAAATGAATGTAGGCTGCTAAGAAGCAGAGAGTGGGGGTTATTAATTGCATTTTTATTAAAAGGAACAAAGGTTATGAAAGATGACGGTATTAGATGATTACCTGTCAGGTATTAGCATTTACGAGGCCACAGTTAATTAAAATGGTGGGATATTTTACAGGATTAGACAAAAGGCAATAGAAGAGGATGGAGAAATGAGAAATGGATCACATATGTAAGAAACTGGTATGTGACAGGGCTGGCATTGCGCTGGCACAATTAGCTAGCGGAATGCAAAAAATTGGATCTCTGCCTCTATACAGTAAAAACCAGTAAACTCAAGCTGGATTAAAATCCTAAATACATGTGCTTGGGCGGAAGGATGAATACTTATTTTTTTAAAAAATATTTTATTTATTTATGAGAGAGAGAGAGAATGAGAGATAGGCAGAGGGAGAAGCAGGATCCATGCTGGGAGCCCCACGTGGGACTCAATCCCAGGTCTCCAGGATCACGCCCTGGGCCGAAGGCAGCGCCAAATCGCTGAGCCACTGGGCTGCCCAGGATGAATACTTTAAAAGAGAGAATATATGAACTTGAGATGGCAAGGATTCCTGGAACAAGAAAGACAATAGTACCAACTGTAGAAGACTGATTTATGAATAACAAAAGACCCCATATACAAAGCAAAAAAAAATGCTAGGTTTTGCAACACATAAACAAAGGATTAGCATCAAGACTATTTAGAAAAAAACTACAAATAAATGAAAAAGTGGCAAACCAAAAAGAAAAATGAGCAAAGGATATGAGCAATCATTTCAGAGGAAATTCAAATAGTCATACAGAGAGAAAATGAGGTTTGCCTCATAGGTAACCAAATATGCAAATTAAGACATACTATTTCATGTTCACCTAACCAACAAGTGTAAAATCTAACAGTATCAGCATTAAGTTATGGAAAATGGACAGAGAAATAGGAATTTTTGTACATCTCATGGAAGTGGAGACTAATAGACCTTTAGTATAATGCATTTGCAATATTATCTTGAAGGTATGCATACCTAATAACGTAGTAATTTTATTTCTAGGCAAAGCACTGGTACATGTACTCAAAGGACACATGCCAGGGTGCCCACCGCCATCAGTTTTTTTAAGTTGCATATCACCTAAATATCCCTCAGTGGGGAAAGGGATACATTTTGGTGCAGTCATACGAAGGATTATACCAGCTTATTTTTTGTTTAACCATTAGCTTGTTTTATAGAAGAGGGGATGTAGAGGTAATAACGTGAGCAGATAAATTCAAACCTGAGGCCTGAGAATAACACCCTTTCCTTCCCATATCACCCCCCAACCCCCCACAAAACCAAAACTGACCAAACATGGTGGGTGGACATGTGGGGCAAGGGGTAATGAGGTGGCTGACCCCTGGTGGTGGGTGATCCTGACCCTTGGTGCAACTCCATTCTCCTTTCCCACCTTCTAAATAGGTGAATCTTAATACTTGGGGGTAACAAACCAAAACCTGTAAACATCATTCATAGTGCAACCAAACTCTTCTGAGTTTCCTGCCTTGTAAACGTATGTGCTGTTTAGTTTCATTCACCAAGTCGTATATATACTCTGAAGCTAGTAGTCTTTAAACTATTTTTTTTTTATAAATTTTTATTTATTTATGATAGTCACACACAGAGAGGCAGAGACACAGGCAGAGGGAGAAGCAGGCTCCATGCACCGGGAGCCCGACGTGGGATTCGATCCCGGGTCTTCAGGATTGCGCCCTGGGCCAAAGGCAGGCGCCAAACTGCTGCGCCACCCAGGGATCCCAGTCTTTAAACTTTTCAAAATCATTAAGCCTTAAATCAAATCTTAGATAGAATCTCAAGTAACACAGAAAAAAGCAGAACTGCTCTGGAGGTTGAAAAAATGGTACGCTTGTAATTATAACACTTTAGTGAATTTGAACTACATGAAAATTCTTAAGCCTATTAGTTTATTTTGGGGTCATATATAATTTTAAAATGTGAACTCTTCATAAAATGCTTTTCAGTTCCTAAAGAACCTGCAATTCTAGAATAAAATCCAGTTACTCTCAATGTAGGAGTGCACTCCAACAGCATCAAAGTTCTGTAATGATCACCAGTCCTACCTAAGACTAATTTCAATACCAAGTATTAAATATGAGTATTTAAAAAAAACAAAAAATAAATAAAAATAAATATATACAAGTATTTAAAATAAACTTTATACTATATCCAATGACTTAGAAGATGCTTACTCTTAGGCAAAATCTATGAAAATAAACTCCACGATCCTCTTGAATCATGTCACTGTGGAGTTTTGAAAAAATAAATTGCACCTCGTCTTCAAGATTTAAGGAAACAGAAACTCCTTCTCATAGTAGATGCACAAATAAAAATAAAATGACCCAGAAGAGGGCAAGAAGGTTATCAGACCCTTTTATTAGAATAATTCTTGGATTGTACTGGTCCTCTTCACTTCAAATACATGCCCAAGTATTTTCATTAGAGGTAGATATGAGATAGTATGTAAAATATTAGATGAGAAAGAAAATGAGAAATGTAAAAATGCATTTGTTGTACAGATTTAATTACTCAAGAAATCACTCTTGCCATTATAGGCTAGGGTTATTAGTCAAGGGGGAAGAAAAATCCCAACACTTTGATTCCACCCATATTTGAAAGGTATGGGGTTTTGCTCCACCAGAGTTGTGAATATGAGGAGGATAACCTCATAACACCGAGATCGTGTACACCTCATTCCTCAACTAGAAGAGCATAGCTACCACTTAAGTTTGAACAGGAAATGATGTATTTAAGTTAATAGAAATGTGTGTCAGGTAGAATTAAACTAAAACAGGATAAGGGGTGGAGGAGAAGAGAACACAGCCAGGAAAACCAGCAAGAAGAGAGAACCAGAAGTAATGCAGTCGCAGCCTGAAAAGAAACTGTAGCAGTAGCTACACTGGTTTACTTCTAGACCACAAGGTTAACATATATAAACCAAAACAATGGGCAAAAATAAACACTTGCTTAGCAATTTCATTAAAGCTTACAGGAAAACTCCCAAAATTGAATAGAAAAAAAATCTTAAAGCAATGGAACATAGAAAACAACGCAAATCAAATCATTATAGTGCCCACCAAGAATCAATTTACAAAAGCAATTAACTCTGCAAATTGCTCTGAAATAACTTAAATTCTCATCGTAATGATTATTACATTAGTATTTGGCTCTTACAAATATAATGGATTGTCTGCATTGTGTACTGTGTTAACGTGAAAAAAAATCACAGTATACGATTCTTTACTACTAGTCAGCCACCCAAAACAAAATGTATTCTAAAATCTTTTATCAAATGCTTCCCTTTATTAGTTAAACCAGATTATCTTCAGAAAACAAATCAAGGCAAATTTAAAGAGGAAATGTGAATTTGAGAAGTCACTGAAAAATGGGATCTAAATTCAAGACAAGAAAATATGATTTG